ACTTTAAACAATTCCATGGTTTACAAAGTAAGGGGAGGAGAGAGAACTGGGAGGAGAATAAGCAGAATGTGCTGAGGGGGAGACAGGAGGAGAGCACCTCCCAGGGCAGTAATAGCTGCCATCTGTGGCTTCTGGTCTCCTGGATATTCTCACAGGCATTATGTCATTGGCGCCCCCCCGGGCCCTCTGAGGGGGCATGGTTGCATGCATTCATTCTTTCAGCATGTCCTGGGGTCCTGCTCTGGGCCAGGCATTTTACAGATGAGGAAACTGAGGCTCAGAGAGGTTAGGAGTTGATCTCTAAGGGAACACAGCCAGTGACAGACCCAGAAGAGAGCCCAGGTGTTTTGGGCAAACTGTGCTTTTCCCCTGTGCTAAATTCGGAGGAAAAGAGACCCACAGTCTAGCCTTCAGAGGCGTGCGGCAGGAGCTCAGAGCGCCGCCCTCGAGCTGGACGGCTGGGCTTGAAGTTCTGCTCTGCCGCTTACCTACCTGGGTAAACTAAGTGCATTTCCTAACCTCAGGGCTTCAGTTCGCCGTCTGTAAAACGGAGGAACACTGCGTCTGCCCCATAAGGTCGTTGCGGGTATTAAGTGTGTTAATAAGTACAAAGTGTTCTGAACAGCTCCCGGCACACGTGAGGCCCACACAAACATCAGGCGTTATTTGTCAAGATGCTAGGCCGGGCTTCAGGCTCTGTGAAGCCGCCCGCTTACAGAGGATGACGTTCTAAACGTTGCGGCAGCTGAGAGACCCCCAGCCAGTCCCTGTGCCGGGCGGATGGCGGGGACCTCTCCGGGACGTGCAGCCCTCTGACCGCAGAGCAGGCCAGCGCTCAGTCCTCGCTCCATGAGGACACGCTGCCTCGCGGCTCTTAGGCCCACGCGTTTCAGGATCTGATCTTGGGAGAGAGACGGGGTGACAGGAGGTGACAAGAGATGTGGAGGAGAGGTGGGTGTCTTCTCCCCTGAACTACCTTCCCGGGGGAGAGGTGCCTTCTGGAACCTTCCAGGGCCTGGGAGAAGGTGAAGAGGGTTGGGGGAGCAGCAGCCCCCCTTCTCTCTTGCAGACGCCGAGCCCTCCGGGGGCAGCCCGCCGACCCCAGCCCCGCGCTGCCGCGGAGGAGGGCGCCCGCCGGCCCTCGGAGCCCCCGCTGGCGATGAGGTCACCGCGGAGCGGCCCTCTGCGTGGCTTAGGGGCTGGCGCCACCTTGTGGCCGGGAGCGGAGGCTGTCTTTGCACGGGGTCTGGAGGATTAGCGAGAGGCGGCTGGCTGGACGGCCCCAGAGGTTACCTAGATACATGCTGGATTTTACGTGGGCCCTCAGTCTTTTATTGGAGACCCAAGGACTTAAAGATAGAAGAGGGGGGTGCAGGAGACTGAGGGAGCAGAATAGGTAGAAGGCACTTGATCGGGAAATCCTGAGCTGGACTCTGATTCAGCTCCTAGTCCCAGGTGGGAGGCTGTATGAGCTGGCGTCCCAGGAGGCATGATTTCCAAATTTAGTTTTGGGCTTGATCCTGGTGCACGCTGGGCTCCCAGAATCTGTTTGCTCATCATCCCGCGGGGAGAGGTCTGGCTTCGCCCACTCTCACCCTCATTTCTTCCCGTACCCTAGGATGCTCTCACAGAGGGAATTCAGAGTTGGTTTCTCTGGCAGACATTGTAGTTGAATCAGCATGTTCCGGGCCCCTTGCCTTCCATTGCCCTGGCCATGATGGGAGAGGGGTGTGTGGCTTGGGGGAAGTGGGCGGGGAGGGCCAGATCAAATGCTCCTTTTGCCCTGGCAGGGCAGACCTAGGTGAATCTGTTCATGTCACCTTGGCCTGGGACCTGGATGGGTAAGCTTGACTCTGTCTTGTAGTCATTTCGCCACCTTGGGCCACATGTGAGTCTGGAGAGGCAGAGTCTGTGGTCTGAGTGTACCCCTGAGAGAGTATAGATTTGTGGTCCGGTCCCTGTGGGAGTCTGTGGCCCACAGCATTGTGTGTTGCGGTTACCACATGGGGACAGAGCTGAGTTTTAGATCACAGAGACCACATCGACCTGTGAGACCCACGGCACCAAAGCTTTGCTGGGCATGTGGCTGTTCTGGGTGCTGCTGGGGAACCTCTGGACTTGCAGCCCTGCCTCAGCCCCTCAGCCGGGGCACCCCTGTCCCCAGCTGCTCTGCCTCCCAAGCTAGCGTCAGATCTGATCAGTCTGACCCTCCTTCGCCCTTGATTCAGAGTCTGCCCACCCCCAACCCCTCCCAAACCACCTATAACACAGCGGGCCCTCCCTGTCGGGGCTTGTGGTTGCCTCACCTCTTCCTCTTAGTCCTCTTCTTCAGGCCCCAAATTTCACATTGCTTCCCTCTCCTTTCTCTTTCCATTCCCTCTTCCGTCTCTCCCTCTGTCTCTCTGTGCCTCTCCTCTGTGTGTGTGTCTCTCTCTGTCTCTGTGTCTGTCTGTCTTTCTGTCTCTCTCTCAGTGACCCTGTAGCTTTATAGGTCAGGTCCAACAACCTCCCTGGCCTTTTCGGAGCCTCTACCCGGTCCCTCGATTTGGGGAACTCCTGGGGAGGCCTAGAGAGAGGCGGTGACGTGTGGGAAGCACAGAGCCGGTGACTGACAGACCTGGAGCAGAACTGGGACTCAGTGCTTCGTTTCACTTCAGAGCCTCAGCTTCCCCATGTGTTAAATGACGGTGGCCAGACCTGCCCCACAAGGCGTGGCAGGGACTCCAGGAGGTGATGGGCCGGCCGCCTGCCCTTCCCCCACACCCTCCCTGACAGAAGCCCCTGCAGTCCGTTTGCCTCCTGGCCTTCCTCCCCTTAGAGTTCACTCCAGGGAGTGTATCCAGAGGAAATAAAGTACCGTCGCAGCACCCCCGGGTGGGTCCCCTCAGAGACACGGTGACCTGGAGGCTCTTGGGAATCCAGAGAGATGGCACAGCATTGTTCACCCGGTGTCGGGCGGGCGCACATTTGTTTCAGGTCACACCGCTGGGTCACAGGGTTCTGAGGCACACCCTGGGACACCCTGGACGCTGCCCGTCATGCCTCCAGTGCATGATGAGAGCACTGGGGGGAGGCCCGCCACTTTGGAATTGGAGAGGAGCATCACTTTACAGTTTTAAATTATTTTACAAATGTATGCTTTTGCATCTTTGTTTCTAAGCATGGGCTTCTGTAACATTAAGCAAGGTTTTGGGCAGCGCCCTACTGCCCCTGTTGCTCCCTCTCAGTGACCCACTTTATGTTGCATCTCATCAGTTTGCTGCAGAAGTGGGCATGGGCCGCCTTCACGTGCTGTGGCAGGGTTGACCTGCCGGCACTGCTCAGCCTGGAGGACGCAAGTCGGCTGGGGAGACGGCGCGAGCAACAGACAAGCTCTTGTGCTCTGCGAGAGACAGAAAAGATGGGAGAAAGGAGAGAGAACGGGAGGTGGGGCCAGAGGGCAGGCAGGGTCCCATTAGCCCAAGGGTGGGGCTTGGATTTTATTCGAAGCCATGAGAGGGTGGAAGGAAGGGGTGACGTGACTGCATGTGTGCTTTTCAAAGAGCACCTTGCCCGCTGTGTGGAGAAGGGCTTGTTCTGGGACCAGAGGGGCTGGGAGACCAGCTGGGAGCATTCTTCTTCCATCGAGGCACGGGGGCTGGTGGTGGTGGTGATGGGAGCAGAGAAGGGACAGTCCAGCAGCCCCAAGTGGGCCTCTGACAATGCTCGAGGACAGTGGGGACGGTATTGGGTGTCAGCCATGCTCTCACCATCTATGATTCAGTCTCGGCGCTATAGGAGGCACAGTGACATACATTCCCAGGGGACGGTCAGGGACGCACATATGGTTCTGTCTGATTGCCTGTGGCCCCCGGCTTATGGTTCTTGTTCTTGATCCTTCCTGGGCCCACAAAGCCATGCTTTCTGCACTGTGCTTTCGGCTTGGTGCTGCCAGCCCCTCTGGCCCTGGCCTGGCCCCGGAGACCACTGGCTGACTCAGTATTTTTAATTCTCCCCTTGACCATGGCTTGGAGACAGCTTCCAAAAGTTCGGGTAAAATGAGGCATGGGGTTTTCTCACGTGGGCCCAGGATGCTTGCCTCCCACACATATTATCTCTCTAATCTCCCTCCAACCCCGCAATGCCATGATTCTTCTCCTAAGAAGACTAACAAGGACACAGAGTTGCAGTAATTAGTCCCAGGTACCACAATTAGAAAATGACAGAACCCATGCCCTCCACTTGTACCTGCTTCCTTTGCCCTTTGTCCCTCCCCGATGGAGCAGGCTGGGTGCATTTGTGTGACTCCTGGACGCAGGTGCCATTGCGCGCTCTGTGTCTGTGTGGAGGGCGGTGCATGGGCTTTGGTGTCTAGCGGCCTGGGGCCAGGTCCCAGTGGCTCCTCCATCCAGATATGGAGCCTGTGCTAATGAGCCCAGCTGTCCCAAATCTGTCCTACATGGGAATTTTACCCGCCTGTCACCTGGGACCCGGGCAACATATGGCCAGCCAGCTACTGGTACTTAGTAGGAGCTTTACAAATGTCAGTTCCCTACCCTTCCTCCTCCAGAGAGGGGCAGGGCTGTGCACTAGAGGGGGAAACCCAGTTGGCATGACCCCCCTGGGACCCGGAGCTGAGAACGACCGCCTGCCTTCCGAGCTCACCTGTGATGCTTCCCTGGCAGGCCCTGGGAGACCATTTGGTCCCACTCTCTTATTTCTCATTTTCCTGATGAGCAAACTGAGGCCAGGCGGGGGGCGGGGAGGAGGACTTGCCTAGGGTCACAAAGCAGGTCAGACCCCTCCCCTGGCCTGCCCCAGACCCCAGCCCACCCTGAAGGTTTAGTACCACGTTGGTGGGCTGGGAGAACCCCTAGAGCTGGCCCAAGCATCTGGAAGGCCTCAGAGCAAAGGCGGGGACCCCAGCACAGGGTGCTCTTGGTTTTGGGGGACGGCAGGGCCCTTGCACAGCGCCCGCCCCCACCCACGCTCTCTGTCTTCTGTCCCGTCTCTCTTGGCAGGTATATCCGCACCATGTACCTGGGCATTCAGAGCCAGCGGCGGAAGGAACACCAGCGACGCTTCTACTGGGCTATGATGTACGAATATGCAGACGTCAACATGTTGCGCCTCCTCGAGACCTTCCTGGAGAGCGCCCCCCAACTGGTGCTACAGCTCTGCATAATGATCCAGAAGAACAGCGCAGAGACGCTGCCCTGTGAGTGCCCCCCACCCCGGAGGCTGGGAAAACGACCTTCCCGAGGGCTGGGACAGGCCCCCACCCTCCATCCGGGGACCACCTGGTGGCCGCCTCCTGCACTCTCAGTGCTCAGCACACGCTATGGGCATTGCCCATCCTGATCCCTGAGTCCTCAAGACACCCAGGCCCCCGTATGATGCTGACCCAGCCCACAGCAAGAGTGCACGAGTGGCACAGACGTTCCCCGTACACCCGTGTGCAAGCCTGCCCCGCCCACTCAAGACCACTGTGATTCATACCAGCAGAGCAGATCTGGGGTCTCAATGTCCCTGGGAGCAGCAGAGCGAGGGCCCTGGGTCTCCCAGTTGGAGGGACAGCCCTTTTTCTTTGACGCTTCCCTGAGCCAAGTTGTTTGCACATGCACGGGATGGGGGAGATGGCTCAGAGATAGCATGTGACAAAAAGACTAAGTCATGTCAGGCAGCACCAGCAGTTTTAGGCAGTTTTGAGCTGTGGTGCTCCTGCTTCACAGCAAAGCTCATGTTGAAGCGCCGTTTATAAAAGAGGCTCAAGAAGCTCTGGTCTAGTTGAATGGGGGAGAGGAGGTCCAGAGCCGCACTCACCCCGCCCACTGGTCCCCCCACCCCCCTCCCGGCCACGGTGGCCCCAGATGAGCTCGAGGAGCAGCAGAAGCCCTCAGAGCCCGGTCCAGACAGCACTGGTCTACAGCAGCGGGACGTCCCTAGGCACCACCTGGCTGCCCAAGGAGCCCTTTTGAGGTTTGACTTCGTGGTCAAGGCAGTGTCACAGCAGGCCGCCGATGGTCAGGCCAGCCTGGACGTGCTGTGGTCGTGCCTCACACGACGTGTGGTCGAGCACATTTCAGGGGCATTGGAGCTCCGGCAGGGGAGAAGGTCTAGGATGAGGAGGGCCTGGAGGTTGTGACACATCAGGGAGACCAGAGACATTTAGTCAGGGGAAGACGTGGCCTAGGTGAATCCCAGCATTTGAAGGGATGCCAGGGGGAAGAGTGATCATCCCAAAGGGCAGAGGGAGCTACCAGGAGACTTATCGATTCAACATGTGAGAGACATTTCAAACAGCAGAAGCTATGCAGTGATGGAAAGACTGTCTCAGGAAGTAATGAGTTTCCTGTCACTAGGAGTATTCAAGCAGAGATGTTTCTGAAGGGACTCAGCCCAGAGGTCCCTGGCTCCAGAGGGTAGGAGCATGTACGAGCATGGGGTAGCAAGGCAGTGGGGGGAGAGGGGTCTACTCTCCATGCCCTACCTCTCCTTGGCCATGGGACCTCCTGGCCTCCTGGGTTCTCAGTTCTGGGTTCCACAGCTCCTCAAGGTGCTGCAGCAGGCCCTCAGTGCCACCAAGTTCATGAACACCTGCAGGGGCTGTCCAGCAGAACCCCCTCGTCCCATGTGGTCTGGCAAGGGCAGCCAAACTCTGGGCCTTTCATCGAACAGCTTCGCCTCCTTACTTTTTCCAGACTGGCTGGCCCTTTGCAAGCTCCATTCCCCTTAGTCATTTTTGCATAAAGGGAGTTTAATCTTCAAAGGCCAGTCAGAGAAGACTGAGCCGTTCAGGCCAGAGAGCTCCATCCCGGCACTTAGAGCCCAAGGACCTGGGTCGAAACCCAACTGTGCTGCCAACAGGCTCCCTCACCCTAAGGGAACGTGGATCTCAGGTGAAGCTTCCTGCCCACTTCCAGAGCCAGGACAGCCCTCGCTGCAAGTGCCCAAGGGAAGAGGGGCCCCAGGACAGCTCCTTCCATCGCAGAAAACCCTGGCTGCAGTCCTGCTGACCCCTCACGGAAGCAAGGAGAGAGGATCTGTGGGCCCTGGACTGGACACAAGGGAAGCCAGGCCTGAGACCCACACTTTGCTGGGATCTGAGCCCCGTTCCACCACCCAGCCAGCCCCTAGGGAGCACGAGCTGCACGCAGGAGGCAGGCACAGCCTCTGCCCTCTGGGAACCCACGGAATCAGGAGGGCCGTGGGAATCTTTGTGGGACGGCGCTGGCCAGCATCAGCTTTCAGGTGTCCACAGTCCCCACTGTCATGAAGAGACCTTACACAGCCCTGGAGCACCCAGCTGCCTAGAGCCGGAGCCCAGCGCCTGTCTGCAGCACCAGCAACCCAGTCCTGGAGAAGAGCTGAAAGTTGCTAAATACGTGTCTAGCTCCAGCCGGGGCATCGGGCCGCTAAGCAGGAAACCCCGCTGAGGAGGGGGCTGACAGCCCGGCCAGTCTCCCCCTTCTCTTTCGGACACCCTCCCCTTCACATAGACACACACTCCCGTTGGCATCAGGAAGAACTAGGGACGTGGGGACCCTCACAAGTGCCCTTTCTTCAAGGTGCCCGAGGAGCCAGGCCATTGGCTTGTGCAATGAACTGGTGTGGCCAGCTGCCCACGGCTGAGCCTGTGGGAGTCCCTGCTTCCCGGACCTCGGAGAACAGACCCTGTGCAGCGGTTCAGAGAGCACTGTTTGTACTCAGCACCGAGAGAATCGCTCAGTGATTGATGCTGGAGGAAGACCAGTCACAGAGGCATCTTGGAAATGCACGTCCTTGCTCTACAAGCCTTGAGGAAGCCCTTGTGGGCCCCTGGTGCCCGGAAGAGGTGCCAGTGACAGGCATCCTTCCTGCTTGCCGGAACCGCTGCTCCCAGCCTGTCCTCTGGTCCTGCGTCTGCAGCTCCCCAGCCCAGGGCAACATGCTCCAGGGGTAGATTTGCTGGGGCTGGGGAGGGGCCCTTTCTCTCCCACCCGAGTCCTCCTTTTCCCAACGCTGTTGCTGTCTGAGACCCCCATCTAAACTGCCCTTTGCTGTTTCAGTTTCAAATCCACTTCCTCCCACCCCATATTACCAGGGCAGCCACATCATCCTTCCTCTTCCAAACTTTGGCCACATCCTGGCCCTGCAAATAGACAAATAATGGCGCGGGTGGCAACATGACGCGAGGGTGAGCTCCTGATAGGATATTCATCCCAGACCAGGGGCCTGGCCGCCACTTATCACCTGCTGTGATTTTGGACATCGCCCTTCACTTTTTCATGGCTCCCTTTCCTCTTTGGTATAGCAGGGGAGGTGACGATAATGCCTAGCTTTTAGGGGGGAACGCAGTGATGCACGTGGAGCACTTTGTGAACTGTCGAGCTCCGCAGGTGCCTAAGCGGGTGTAGCACCACTTCCAGGCCCGGTGGTGAGAGGTGTGGGCAAGGTCCTAGAGAGATTTTCCCCCTTTGGCCCTGTGGGTCGTCCTGTCCAGCCTCCTCGCTGAGCCTGCCCTTTCTAGGAGAGTTGCTCAGACTGTAAACATGGAGCGGCTGGATGTGAAATCCCTGCAGAGGAAACACCGGGGACAGCAGAGTTGCTTCCTACGAGTCCTCCTGATCTGGCAGCCCAGTGGGGCCAAGGTCAGTGCAGGCCAGGGGCTGTTTGGGTGTGCTGCCGCCGAGGCACCTGGGGGAGGAGCTGGGAGGGAGGAGGGCCATGCTGCTCTGGGGCCTTGCCCAGAGATGCTGCCCATGGCTCTTCCTCCCACACACCCCTCTTTTTACGCCATCCTCTCAGATCAGGGGAGCGTTGCCCCACGTTTGTTTGGATGTGGAATAGGGATTTCTCAAACCGGCTTTCATGGTTGAATACATTTGGGAACTGCTGGGCTGGGCAAAGGGCGGTGGCAACCGTCACTGTTGGGTTGTGCGACTCCAAGACAAGGGTGGGGTCTGCTGTGTCGCCGAGTGCAGACTGCAAAGGTCTGGCATTTTCCTCTTCTTTAACTTCAAGAATGTCTGCTCCTCACCGGACCATTTTATGATAATAGGGGCCGCCCTCTCTCTTCCCATAAAAAACTGCATGAAATGTATGCGCCTTAAAGAAAATCAGTTTAAATATTAGAAATTTGAAGAGTAGGGAGACAGTCTGTGAAGTGGGGGGCACCTGTTGGGGACGTGGAGTCTCCCAGCCGTGGGAGTGCTTGCAGTGTGGCCACGTCAAAGAGGAGGTGACTCCGGCCCTGCCACCTGTTAGCTGTTTACCTTTGGGGAGTTTCTGAACCTTTCTGTTCCTCAGTTTTCTCGTTTCTGAAATGGGGATTATACTAGTACACACCGCGGAGGTTCATTCTGAGCATTTAATGACAGGACAGATGGCCAGTGCCTCACACAGTGTCTGGCCCCTTGGTTGGTGGTGGCAGTAGATTTTTTCCTGCAGATGCACTTTCTGAATTCAACTGCAAGCTTTTCTAGTGAGATCCACGGCTGATTGGCCTTGCTCTGGTGGGCTTTTGATAACCCCTGTTCACTTTACACAGTTCATGCTCGTACAAGGTTAGAAAGACCACTACTGCTGGGATAGGGGAGTTCTCCATCGGTCCTGCTCAGCGCCAACCTCTCCCACTTTTGTCACCTCTGCCATCTCTCCACCTTCTACTCCTCACTCACCGCTGGGTTAACAGTGTAATATTCAGCCTGCAAGATGGATTTGTATCCAATTTTCCCGTAAATCCAGACTCAAGTGAAAATACAACAATAATAGTCATAATGATAATAATAATAATACATATATTATGCTAGAGCCATATGGGCATTTCAGTAAGATCTTCCTTAAAACTGATGTCTTGAAAGTGTAAATAAAGATGAAAATGAAGATATAATGGGAGCATATTACCTGACATACCGTTTACACTGGGAGTGAGTCTTGTGTCTGCTGAAAGCTTTGCCGGTGTTTGGGATTGTGACGGGGTATGCAAAGCAGTCAGGTATCGTGGGAAAAGCCACACAGAGCTGCATGTACATTCCAGCTCTGCCATCAACTGACTTTAAGACATGGGGCAAGTTAATTTCCTAACTGGGTTTCTTCCTCTGTAAAGCGGGAAGAGTAACTACTTTGAGGTTGTTGTGAAGGTCTGGTGAGCAGCGCATACACCTCCACTGTGCCTTGCCTGGCCTACTATGGGTACTTGATACAGCCTGCCATTCCACAAAGATGCATTGTCATGTG